GCCTATTACCCGCCGGCACATTTGGGGACAGGGGAGCGCGTCCCTCGCTGGCAGGCGGAGGGCAGCGCGCAGGCACCGAGCCGCGTCCGCGCGGCGCCCCCGGCCGCCCCCGGCGCCTTGTGGAGCGGGGCTTTGCGGTGCGCCCGGTATGAGGTGCTCGGCACCTCGGGGATTGGGTTTGCTGGGTGTTAGGAACGGGAGAACCGCACACACGCAGGGCGCCGAAATTCCCTGAAGGACGCGCGCGCGCGTGGAGGGAAACGTTTTGCGCAGAAAGGAGAGAAAAAGAGCGAGAAGGAGAGAAGGAGAGAAAGAGGGAAGTCCTTGAGAAGAGAGAGAGAAGGAGAGAAGGAAAGAGAGAAGGAGAGAAGGAGAGAAGGAACGAGAGAAGAGAGAGAAAAGGAGAGAAGGAAAGAGAGAAGGAGAGAAGGAAAGAGAGAAGGAAAGAGAGAAGGAGAGGAGAGAAGGAGAGAAAGAGGAGGAAAGAAGGAGAGAAGGAGAGAAAGAAGGAGAGAGAGAGGGAGAGGAGGAGAGAAAGAGGGAGGAAGGGAGCGAAAAAGAGAGAGAGAGAAAGAAAGAGAGACACAAAGAAGGAAAGAAGGAAGGAAAGAAGGAAGAAAGGAAAGAAATAAGGAAAGAAGGAAAGAAAGAATGGAAGAGAAGGAAAGAAAGAATGAAAGAAAGAATGAAAGAAAGAAGGAAAGAAAGAAGGAAAGAAGGAAAGAAAGAAGGAAAGAAAGATGCTCTGTGCATATGTTGAAGCTTTGCAAACTTCATCAGGAATCCTAATAGACCTATAAGGAAATGACTAGGATATGATCGTCAGAGACATTAAAAAAAAGTCCTTGTGGATTTGGTTCTCGAAATATACATTAGGGTAGTTTAATTTGCAGCTTGACGAAAAAAATGGAATCAAATATTAGGAAACTCCCGCAGGAATTCCTCCACCCTCCCCTCTGTAATCCTTTACATAAAAGGAAAGGATTACAAAGAAAAAAAAAGATTGTATGTGTGTGTGTGTATTAAAATCTTTGGCTAAACATATTGTTGTCCAATTAATACCTCCAAGTCGATTTGTA